GTAACATTTACGAAACCTAATAATCACCAATACGATTTATCGTTTGAATCGAATAGCTAGCCGGTTGCAATTCAATTTGTGAATGCCTCCATCAATCCATTGTGTATAGAGCAATCCGTCACACTAATATTCGATATAAATAGGCGGATGTTGTCGACAGTTAAATATTGCACTCCACCCATGAAGAGCTAATTTTATGAGTGAAATTAGTTATTCACCTGTTGTTGCCATTTATTTATAGTGGGCACAATGTGACCGGGAGCGAATCGTTTCGGCCGCACCCTCCATTATTCGCAGACGTATTAAAGTCGATTCGTCGATTTCATATGGAGTCATAATATAACCATATGAAATCATATGGAGTACATTAGCAGATCTAAATGTTTAAACAATACAAATACGAGAAGATTAGAAATTTAAGAGAATAGTTAACTACGCGCAGTCGTTATTTCTCAAGTTTCTCGCACGGAGTACAAAATTTTTTGTGACCATCGAAATTATCCATAGACGAAGCACAAAACACGAGTAATTTAGGTACCGAATGATTAAACGTGTCGAAACTAAAGAGTCATCTCACGTTCCCGCTCAAATATTCGTTTTTAACGGAGACGGGTCGCTTTTTACAATTTTTGTACCTAGTCTAGCCCGTCCATATAATTCGTGGGGTACGTGACCATTTTTTTTTTTTTCATTCAAACCGGGTAAAATGACAATGCGAGCGCAGTGGTCCGTCACCATGATGACACGCAGAACAAACAGGTGCTCGAACATTATTGAGACTTAATAAATACCTGTTAGGCCTTTTTAGCAATTAAACCTAATTAAAACTACGTAAAAGTCTTTAAATTAAATATATTTACAAATTTAAAGAATATTTCAAGATCAAGATTGGAACAATTTTTTTTATGACAATAGACTAGTTACTGCAAACGTGTGAAACCTGATAATAATACAAACATAATATATGTCGAAGCAATTCTAAATTCACTGATGTTACTTGTTAATTTCTAAACCCATTCATTCAACAGTAATTTCAAGACTTGAGATTTTTTTTCTTTTATATCAGTCCGTTCAAACATATTGCTTATAATGTAATATTAAATAATAATATGAATAATAATAAGAATATGTTGCTAACATTGCGATTCCAGAAAATTACGGACTGTTTTTGTGACTATTTTTGTTTATGTTATTTAACAATCGATATGGTTTATTTTTAACTGTTGTCCTTTTTTTGCTCATGATACTTGTCGCACGATTTCTGAATGTCGTAACAAGAAGTTAAAGTCCAAATATAGATCTGACAGCTATCATTAAATAAATTATAGCACAAATGGTCGTACCTCAATCGCTAACGACAATTGCTACAGCAGTTATAAAATAAATTGAGAATATAGTCAAGTAATGCAGATAATAAATATCAGAGTGACTATCTGTTCTTATGCAAGTGTCAAGCGGAGGCACGTCGCTGGAATGAGGGATACTTGATGGATGGATAGAAAGGAGTCAATAACATCGTTACAATAAGCTTAAATGCCAAACTGTCTCGCGTCGCGCCGCAACGCACCGTGACCGTTGGTCAGCGGACATAGCAATTTTGATACTAGTAGAATTATGACAGAAGTCCATTTCCAAAATCTGTCATATAATACTGACGTACCAATACAATAATGTTAAGATCAAAAACAAACAAATTGACGATGAAGCCTTTATGAGATAGGCATATAATAGTGATTCAGAGTTGTATGATTGTTAGAAATAGTGAAGATGAATATCCACTAATCACTGGCAATAATTCTCGATTTCGCTACTTCATTCACTAGGCTACCATAGCTTTCGCTGTCCTTAGCATTTTTGACTATGATTTTCTTTCCATCTAACATATATGAACGATTTATAGTCACCAATTTATTGACGTTAAACGAATGTTTCGTTTAACGTCAATAAATTTAAATATATTTATATTTAACAAGATTAGTATTTCCTTTCGAGAAAAATATATTCTATAGCTTGGTTGTATTGTGCCTGATTTTAAACTTTGTTTTTTAGACAGTAAATTTTCAATGAGAGCTATGAAATACATAATTACGACGTGTTAAGAATATTGAACGCATGTAAACCATTACAAATAGAATACAAATGTTGATTGAAAGTATCAAAACCGTTGAAACGAGTTTATTTATTGGTAGGTGAAGAAAAGTTATTATTTTCTGAACTATGGTCATTAAAATTTTTGATTAACTACGTTTGATCCGTGTCGATAAGGATGACGCGGCGGAAAGTACGATTTTGTCCTTTTTCTCCTAGCCATAACTAAATGTTCTAAGGGATTCTTTTTTATACACTCGAAGGGCTATTTATTAAAATATCATCACTGGGACTTTCTTATATTTTACGCCTATTTCTGACATTCAATTTAGCGTGTAGTGTATGTGGTATTCTTCCTTTGTATATATTATAAAAAATGTTAATTACGTTAATAACAAGATGCAGAAATGTTTTAAAATTTTAATGAAAAACGCAGGAAATCATTTTAATTAAATTTGAAAGTAATAAAGATGTTTGAAGTTAAATAAATTATTTGAATTTTTATCAACTTTGTTACAGGTTGGAGGAGCCAAGTCATTGTTTCATTTTCCATAGGCATATAAATCTAAAACATAAAGCATATCAACAATTTCTACCATAGTATAGAGTCAATACAGTACACACTAAACAATAAACAAGATTGCAATGGAAATAGAATATAAATTGTGCTATATTGTCTAAATAAAATGTTTACAACATGTTGTTTTAATACATTTTTTGCCTACTTTTTAAGGTTATCGTGCCCGCATAATTTTTTTAAAGAATTCGTCTCGTAAGTAATATGATGTCAGCCTTGAATATAAATATCGGATCCAGCAAAATTTTGTCCTTTGAATTTTAATGACTCAGGAAAAAAAAACTAGCAATATATTAGAGTAATCTATTATCGAAACATGTATTATTGCAAAACAAGTGTGATGACGCGCACAAACACAAGGCTGTTCTATAAAGTCTTATGTAATTTATTAGGCTTTTCAAGTTGATATTAAGAAAAAATTTTAATAAAATGGTACTTTCAGGATGTAGCGACAAATCACAAAATTATGTGTTCCGCGGTGGCCAATGTTAGTGTACTAGAAAGAGCTCCGGGACACAGCGTCAAAGGTAGTCCCCGGGAACTATAAATATTTATTCAACAATCAGACAGCGATATTATGTGGCTTTGGAGCAATGAGTCATGACCCAGGACTACGAATTCCGGAGAGATTTCATTGATGTGTCCTTTCTGCGTCCGGTTCGCAATACAAATTAAAGGTATGAATAAATTAATCAAAATTCGTAAATTCCTCGATAGCAGGTTAATAATTAAAGAAACAGCGTCAGGTCTGCTGGTCAGTTGAGTTCTCCCATACCCACAGACCCAGTGCGACCCTCGGCCGCACGAGCGCGATCACGGCACAGACGCTGAACATTCGTCATCCATTATTCACGGCCCGAATTGCACAACTTTAGAGCGCCATTTCTAAATGACGTCTAAATCTGTTACCGTATTAACGTTGTGAATAAAATTTACACAATCAATCTACATAAATGTCCGTGAGCGTCCGTCCATTAGTCAGCTGGAGCACAAAGGGCACACGCTCGTCTCGTAAATCAATCGCATGTACTCACATTGACTCGCGTTGCCCAAATCGCACTCAATAACCAATGTGCGCCGTAGTGCCGTCGCCCGCGTCGCTCATCGCCACAGAACTTTCCAGCCATTAGCGACCCTCGCAACCGACATTTGTCATTAGACGGGTCACGTTACAGTGAAATCTTCATTCGAGAGTTACTCGCTTTATTAATTTTTTGCATTTTGAACAACGACACGGGACTTTTGTTTCTTTTTAACGTCTAAATAAACCTAACGGTGAAGAAAGCAACCATATAAATACTTTTGAATTAGAGACTGTGGGGTGATCTAAGGTTTTCACGCCACTTGGATAGTCTCTTTGGATTTTGTTACATTCAAACTCACTTTTCGGCAAGATAGAGTTGTCGGTGTCAAGGTCTAATGGGCCAATCGTTTCACTTGGTCATCGATTTTTTTTCCGTATTAATTCAAAGCATCGTGTTACCGCAGTTATGTTCGATCGATAGGGTCAGATAACGCGCAATTATTTGCTATTAAACAGGCGAATCGACGGCGTATTTTTACGGGGCGATATCACGAGTGCGCTACCGACGCACAAATTAGATAATCAGCGCGCCGTTTATTCGGACACAAATTGGATAATTATTCAGGGCGCTGCTCAAGCACGCCCTAAACGGTTATTAAGATATTAAATATTACGGGCATGAGGCCGGTGGAGGGGCGTCGCGTTCTCGGCGGGGCGCTCAGCGGGCGGCGGCTACTGGGGCGCGCTAATTGTTACCCGACTACACTCCTACCGGCTCTTACCAAGCCACGAGATATATCAAACGTGGTGTTATCATTATTCACTATACAGCAGTTCCATTAATTATATGGACGTCATTAGAGTAAATTAACGACTGATTTTTAGGAGGACATAAGCTATATCAAATTAGAATGTGTTATTGGAACATAAATTTAATATATTGTTTTCTTGATTTTACGCGAATATTATACATATTAAATGAAACTACGTCTGTCCCGTGACCATGAACGCTGGAAAGGGTTCGAAACGTCGGGAATTTAAATTAAAATAAAAAACGCGATAAAATCCGTAAAGTAGTTTCATTTAATATAAATTTAATATTTTCATATTCCGAAATAACAATCATAGATTTATTGCAACTTCATTTCACAAATTAATAAAAAGTAGATATTAATTAATTAAACGTACAGAAACGAAACAGTGATCGGTTCAGAACACAATAATAAAAAGATTTGAAGCAAAAAAAAATCACAAACATAAAATCACAAAAAAGTTTGTTTTAATACGCGGCCGCTCATAAAGCATAACAAAATGCGTTATGGGTTCAGCATCGAGTTACATCCCGCTTTAAAGAGGCCTTATCTTTTTATCTCCCGATACAGTCGCCACATCGGAGCGGCCGGCGCGGGTATCCTCGAGGTGACGAAGTCCGCCCAAAAATTTAACGTATCAAAATAACGATGGGAATAAAATAAACGAGCACTTATATATGCATAATGGTGGCTTCGGTTCTACAAAAAGGTGGGGATCGTACAAATATCTAAATAAAAGAGTGTAACATCATAAAGCGGACGCGCCTAGCGCGCCTGATGCCGCGAACAGATTGTGGCCGGCCGCTCGCCGCGCCGCGACGCTATCATTTATATCGTTTCATTGCGCCTGTTTACATTTCATTCATAAGTCCGATTGTAATGCGCTGGGACTACGTTTTCCTCTTTCCCTAATCGGATTTGTGTTCTACTTTTAAATTATTATTCTCTGTCTCTAAGAAATTTACAAGTATAATCGCCGTTCCCACGTCATCAAATCATCATCATCTATAAATAATTATCTTTACACAATAGGCGGTTTCCATTCAACTGTGGTAAAAAATTAGTTAATGACTATCACATCTAATAAATATACTAATTAAAACAAGTCAAACTAGTTCATACTTGATGCTTTCATTCTTATAACTTAAATCACACTTGTTTAATTACAAAATACAGATTCAAACTAAACACGGCAATAAAATAGACACAATTGAACGGCGAATTGCTGCAGCTTGTAACAAATGACTAAATTGCACTAGCTTAGTACACGACACTGCAATGGATTTGTTTTAGATAATCTCCTACACTTAATAATACGTTGCATTGGTCATATTTTCTTTTATCGTAATAATGTAACTTATAACTACTTATATGTTTACGATTTATCTTATTTTTTTGCGTGTTATTTCTATTTTATCTTTTGAAACGAGTCGTGTTATTTGTCGTTTTATAACATTTTTACTAAACGTTCTATTAGAAAAAGTTGTGGTATAAATTTTTCTTTACACTTAAGGCAAAACATTACATCAGTCTCTTTTTGGTTTCGTATTCTCATAGTTCATATTTAGTACTTAAACTAAAGCCTTCCTTGTCTATTCTTTTGATAAATTTTAATCAGTCTTTTGCAAAACAATGTTTCCAACAAATAAATTGTTATGTTATATATGCATCATCACCATATGAAACCATTACAACTGAAGTCATTTGTGACTTTATAAATTATCTAATTTGTTTGTATGAAAGCGTAAATTAACAAAAACGGTCGGTATTTTTCTTTATATCGTGGCAAATGTTTTAAGCTTTTAACTTTAATACGTCTGCGTGCGTTCAGTTATATTATGAGCGAGCACCGTATTCATTTTCCTTTAATAAGCACTCGGCCTGTATGTGTCGCCGATCGCCGAAGCTCGCACGTTGCTCTTTATTTATTGACCTATTAGAGATAACATTAAGATCGGATGCACGGCCAAGGACCTTTGTTATAAAAACCGTGTCTGCCTCATTATTCTTGAAAAATTAAAAGATCCATAACGTGGATATTCCGAGTAATTAAATCTTCATTTATTAATTTGAAGGTTTTATTTTAATTAATTTCTTCAAAGAAATGGAATAGTAAGCATTAATGATGTATCTTGTATCGAACTCGGAAATTGGTGCAGAACTTTTTATTTTACCAACAATTCCTTTCGAGGTAAAATTATACCAAAGCATTATTAAAGCTGTAGGTATTTTAAATTACTTTTCTTATTTTAATAAAAACCCTATCCATGACTTTCTTACGTTAGGCTTAACCCTGTAAGATGACAGTCCCACTCGTTATATTATTTCCCAGATTTGTAATCTCAGTAATTTAAATCAATATTCATTATACATTTTCGAAGGTCTGTTCTATTTGATTTTTTTAAATATAAAACTTGTTTTATGATCTGATTATTAAAATTTAAAAGGAATTTTTAACTTTATGACTTTTTACTCTTGATAAATGATTATAAATATCGAATCAAGACTACCGCAAACTGGTTTATAGCTCTCTGGATTGAAGCATTTTGATAATACTTAATATATTTGACTTTCTGAACAAAAAGAACATTTTACAATAAAAAGTTTAAAAAGCCCTTAAGCATCTTTATTTTTATTTGACGATCTTGACGTTTATTAGCTTTTTTTTATGTGAAAAGTTGCCAAACGAGCAGACGGCTCACCTGATGGTAAGTGAATACCGCTCACAGTAACAGATCTGCTACACCCGAGGGTTACAGGTGCGTTGACAACCTTTAGAAAATTGGGCTCCGGCTACCTCACTCACCAGACGAAACGCGAAAGTATTTGACATACTTCCACTTTACGCTGGTCTTCTGTGAGGTCGTGGTACTTACCCGGCCAAGCCTGCCCATTCGTGCAACAGCCGAGGCTGCTGCTTGGCCTTACCACAGTTAATAAAACTTGAACTCAAATAACTTAACTTGTCATTAGACTTTGTTCCATTTTTGTATTCCATTCAAAACTCATATCTAAGACTGTTGAGTCTTCGCCCGGTTTCTGAAACAATAATCATCGTAGAAGTCAACTAAACAGCTGATGACTAATCAAAATGATCTTCTGATGATCAATTAAAAGAGTTTAACCACCCTTTTGGTAACTTAAATAACATTTGAAAATCCATTTGACAGCTAATTAGTTGAATTCCACAATGATCAGAAACCGGGCCGCTTATAACATTTTTGTTAAATTCAATTTGTTTTTTCAATTATGTATTAAGAAATAAGTATATTTGACTATCATCAAAGTGTTTATTCAATAAATAAAACTAATGATTTATTAACGATGTTGTCGTACTGTAGGCCTGATACTTTTAAATTAGAACTATACTAAAATTTGTTTGTCACATTTGTCAAAATTTTTCAAACAAAAACCAGATTTCTTCATGTAAAGTGAGTTTAAGCCTTGAAATTTAACTGAAGCAATCACATATGGAAAAAGACTACAGATTTTTGCTTTAGACCCTAAAGTCACTTTAGCATATTTCAAATATCGTAATGTAAATTATGAAAATTATTTATTTGGAATTTGGTGCCGTTTAAGATTCAGAAGCTAGGGGTAAACGAACGTTATCGAAACCCATATTTAAATTAATTAATTGTTAACATTACAGACGATAATTGGCTTACAGATAAAATAATTTCCGATTTACGCGTTCATTTACAAACACGCTTAATGAATTAACACACAACAATGAAACATGATATATTGCATTTCATTTTTAAATGCGCGTTATTCGCATCTCATTTGCAATTCCGTAGCGACATAATGCAGCGTTGTAGTAATTATAATTAATTAACTTTGGACCCGTCCATAAACAGTCAAGGGCTTTTTATTAAGTAGGTACAATTCAGCTTGGTTCGATTATTTCCACATTTTATAAAAATCAACACATACCTAACTGACCCTCCCTCTCCTGTCTACGTGTGCCTGGGAAATAGCAACATCTTAGAGGGAGCTTGCTTTTATTTAAATTAATTCCACGAACTAAAATAAGCTGCGCAATAAATATTCAACAAACTTATTTTAATTTCTTCGTTACAGAGCGTAGATTACCAGACTCGATAGGGAAAACTTTCTTGTTTTTAATTTTCTTTTAAACATTCGTTTGTTTTAATATACTTTTTTCCAACGAATAGTCGGAAGGCTTCCTTAACTTCAAAACGCTTATCTTTCGCGAAGGATAAGTGCCTAAACTGTTAATTGTATCACACTATTTTGAACTCTAAAGTTTAAGTGTTAAGTTTCATTGTTTTCAGATTTCTTTCAAACTTTTTTAATTGCTAAGTAGAAGGCTAACTTCACCGAGTGCTTTATTGTTTTTCCTTTTGTTTCCGACTGTGATTTCCCTCTTATTTAAAGTAACACGACCTTAGTTGAATATAAATCGATTGTAAGTCGAAATGTACGAGAGAAATATGGACTCTGCAACAGCAAGATATGTTTAAAAGTAGTTAAATTTTGTTTTGTATAATGCGAATGCATTGCACCGATGGAATCCGTCATGGGAATATTGCTGATCTGATTTGCGATCATGGCTACCTAGTTGGTCGGACGGCGGACGAGGTTTATCAGGAGAGCTCGCCTATTGTGCCACCAGTATCCCAGTGCCATTCTGCCAATGCTAGATAACGAGCGGCCGATTGCAACGTCCAGTACTCGGAACCACGTCGTGCTCAGCGGGTCCATCGAAAACATTCGCCGCCGTCCGATCGAACGGGCAACATTCGAGCGATTATTACATATTCCATATAAGAATTCGGTCGGTAGGACACAAAGCGGAACAAAGAGACGAGCAAAACTGCGCCGATGACGGGCGGTCCATTTATCATCGCGAGGAGTTATGACGGCGCACGGTAAAAAAGGCGAAATGATCGTTGCCGAGATTCCTCGGAACCTAAGCCGATGGGTATGCTATAAAAACTGACCCTGTTATAGTTTGCGAAAGCAATTAAGCTATAAAACTTAGTGGTCTCCACTGTCTTAATGAAATATTCCGCTGCGATTATTATTGATGCCGGCCGTTAATAGCGTGGAAGTATGACGTACATGTGGAATATGAAGCTGGTGTGATTATTGCTCCGGCTTTGGTGCGCTTTGTTTTTACGAGAAACGACCAAACGTTTATGATTATGATCGGAACGTCATTAAATTCGTTTCGAAATATTGTTTGGCGTACTCAGAAGATATTCATTGTACATTTTTTTATTACAATAGGCATTTTTATTTATTTAAACAAATCACAAATGTGATAAACGGAAATTGAACATAGGAAATTAAAGAAAAAAGTGTTCCAAAAAATATGGTCGATTATTTATATTTTCCAAAAATGTACAATAATGTTGTATATGTATTGTTTTTTTTTTCTGTAATCTATTATTTAAGGGATGAAATTTCATGCATTTTTTGATGATTTTGATTTCATGCACTCAAATGAATTTTAAGAAATATTTAGCGTCGTGGCGCAAATCCAGAAGAAGCAAGTTCGAATCCCGCTGCGCCGAAAATTTTTTTTCATTTGTCTTCAAAAATTTACGATTTAAAATTTTGATTATGTTCTATTTGTGTATTGCTAATTCGTATCTTTTATAAAAATTTTAAAGTAAAATTACGTTACAACAATATGCAAACATATTTATTACTACATTTTGAATATGAATATTGTCTTAGTATATGTAACTAGTTTGTTCATTACTTGTTTCATTTACTAGGTATAATATTCGTGTAAAACCAAGAAATCAACATGAATAATGTGTTATTAAAAACAAAAATGTATATACAAAAAACAAAATAAAAAACAAAAAATGTATCATTTATACAATTGTATTATGATCTCTCTATAATCTATCATAGAGTTACAAAATTTGGAGCAGTCAGTAAAATTTTGTAATAACTTAATACCATAAACAATACGAGAATGAAACAAACTAATTTGCTATGTGAAGGTTAAGGCAGGAATTAGGGATTGTAAAGTCATTTTAAACGCCAATGATATCTCTCAGCAATCCACCTACTAGTTTGCCGCAATCAAATAATCATAAATATTAATTAACAGCTGTAAAGTTAGATTACGAACACAAAGCCATAGCGGTGGTCTGAAATATTTTTAATGGCGAAGAATGGTTATTATCATTGCATTGTCATAAAGGTCGATTCAATGATAATAAAACCCTCGGAGATTTGAGGGATACCTGTCAAACTACGAGAGTTTGAGCAGTTGATATATATTTGGGCCAAAATCTATTTGTAAGGTATTTGACTCAATTCTTTTATGTTAATAGCAATATTAGTAGGTTTATTATAAATGGCATGTCCATTTTGAATACAACTTTTCATAAATATTTTACAATGTCGTAAAGCAACTTATACAATGTAGGAACGATAAGAAAGTAAATAAATAATAATATTATTAAAAAAATATCCCACAGGTGGGCAAAGGCCTCGTTTCTGCCAAAGGGTTTAGACCATAGACAGCCACGCGTCCTTATATCGGATTGACGGACTTCATAAATCTTTGAAATATTTTTTATACATCTCAGACATGCAGCCGCCGGCCGTCAATGCCTGGAGGTTCAGTCAGCGACACTCGTCTTTTAAATCAATATAGGGTACTCGAGTATCTCGAGTTTAAATCTCGGTTCTAACGCCAAATAATTTGTTGATTAAAATTTGTCTATTCAACACGTTGTATTCTTACAATTGTATGGAAATTGCAGATTTGAGAATTAAGAAATACTAAGGTAAGCTTTAGTTCTTTCCAACTGATATTTTTAACTTTGAATGTCTTAAATAATCTTTTTAAGACATTCAACATTCAAGTTTATGAATTCACTAACGCCCGTCAAGACCGTTTAAAGAGGCCGGTTACTCTTTGTCGATGCAGCAGCGTTAAGGAGAAGGAGTCGTTTAGAAAGTCTTCATACGCCGTTGGCTGCCATCGGATGACACTTATGCGGCCTATAACCAGCAAATCCTCGGTCTAGCGAAGCAAGAACTGAACTTAATTAATTGCCGGCTACCCATGTCGCGCGCATGAAATATTTATGAAATTCATAACGAGGCTAATTATGGGGCCGGGCGAGCTTTGGCTCGCGCCACCCGCGGTCGCCCGACGTCGGTCGCTAAGTAAAAAGCGAACCGAGCCGCCGCGTCCACTCTGCCGTTTTTACCCCTCACTCCATATCCTGACCGCTCGCGGCAATCATAAATAGTTCTTGTAACGAAATCTTAATGCCCCGCTTCATTCTAGATGGCAATTCGCCAATTATCCGCCGCGACGTTGCGGTGGGAAAACACATATTTAGCGCTCCTCGCACAACGCTACGGTTACTAGCAGGGATAATTAATACGCGTATGTCCGATGTCTTGTAGGCAAAGGACTCCCATTCTTTTGTTTTTCTATGTTATATCAGTTCCCATTGCTTATAAGTATTGTGTTTTTTTTTTTAAATAACAAAACAATTGCCTAATCAAAATATTTATGGTTTGGCGTGACAAAAAGATTTTGCAACACTTGTAAATTATTAAATTACTTATGTCCATACCAGAAAACTAATTATTGATTTCGATTGGGAATAAATATAATTGAAAATCGCAGAAATGATGCATCGAATTCTTTGAGTTATATCAAAGTATTATTTGAAATTGATGAACATCGGAGAAACTGTAGTCATGACGAATCTCCAATTTTATGGAGCTGTTACTCTATTTTATAGCTCTGCAAAAAGAACTATGAATAGACGCGTGCCAGGTCAGAGACGAAAAAAATTACGACTTATTTTATTTTTCTGGTATTTGTCATAGCGTTCACTATACTAGATGTTTATGAGTAAACTGGAAATAAATATTAAATTCCCCAACTTTGGTACTTACTGCTTAAAATAATTGAAATGGTAATATATAGAAAAACCACCATCAAATGATTGTTATTTTAAATAATATATAATATTAGACAGTTTTACTGCAAACTATATGGGCTGCTTTTTTGAATTTCATTGAAGTGTTATTTTAAATATTTTGGATACATTGTTGGACAGATTGTCTACAACTATTCAAACTGTATCTATGGGTAGGCTCAAGAAATAGCAAACTCAGTGGCCTTTTGATAAATAATTTATAAGTGTCAAATTAAATAAAAAAACTATTTTTTTGTCAATTGAATATGTCACACATAAACAGCCGCACCGGAAAGACGACGGATATTCCAAAAAACCGGCGTGCCCGTTGAAATAGTGGGACACATCGAAAACATAACAGCGAAACATCCACGCAGCAAGTGCCGACAAATCCAGAACAGCGTGGTGACACGGGGCAAGTCGAGAGTTTTGTACAGTGGCCCGTAGACGCCTTACATCAAAACAGGCGAGGAGATGGGGGGGGGGGAGAGGCGCGGGAGGGCCTGTGGGGCGTGAACGGGGCGTATGGTGCAGCCTGCAACTCGCCTCCCGCCTTGCACTCGCTGCACCGACGGAGCACACAATCATCCAAACCTCCAAACACCTTCCGACGTCTATTGAAGATGAACATCGCTCTTGACCTTGAGAGCTACATGTTCGATTATTAAAAACGTAAAACACACTGAAAAAAAAATTATTTTATTCTTGTATAGTTAGAATTTCATTATAAGAAAATGTTTATTCCCGTGATTACAGCTGATCGTTCCAATGTCGAAATATTGCAAATGAAGCTGCTTCACCCTACTAGTACCGCCATCTATTGGTCAATAGCCGAACGACGCGACGCACTGAAATGACTTTTTACCGTGCGATTATAGAGATTCTGTTTTCGGATAATTTTGTCCCAGTTTAAGATTTTTTTTTATTTTTTCAAATATTGAATGAATATTTATTCGTAAACGTACTTGGAAGACTACCTAAATAATACAATTACTAATTATGTATCGTTCTTATGAATTTATATTTTACCTATTCCAACTGGGTATGACATTTGAACATCCAACTTCACCTGCACATTACATTAAACTTAAAAAAATAGTAAACTTCAACTCATAGTAATTGTTCTATGGCAAATAATTCTTACTTTCCTGTCAACTTATTAGTTTCTGTACATTTTCTTTAACTTGTGTTCAGCACGTGTTTAAAAATATTTCAATATCGTTTTATGTTATGAAATTGTATTAAACACGTGCTGGCGTTTCCTGAGCAATACTACACGATATCAATGGAGCGGCGAGGTCGAGCGTCCCGTATTTTATAACTATAAAGACACGAATTACAATTTGTAATTGTCACATCCGCGGGCGCAAACTTAATTTACATGCAAATACATCGGCATTATTACAAAAATGAACATCCTGTCGCCGCGCGATCGATTTGCATATTTTTTAATAATATTGAGGAAATATAACAAAAGGGCGTTTATAAAACGAATGCGGGCCATTGTTAACGTTTCCGGAGCGAAGACAGTTATGTTTGTGTAAATGAAATTAAACCAACGCATCCACATAATCTAGGCTCGATGATTATGGTATTTACGGCTGCATTGTGGAAGTGTTCACAGTTCTGATCATTTTGTGAAAATAATTGACTATTATTGCGCTAATTAATATTTAAAATGTATATTTAGCTTTACGGTTAAAGATTATTTAAATGATGTTTTTTATCTTATTACAATTTTAAAACAGTAATATCTTAAAACTTTCAAAACAATTTAATAATAACTTTACTTAAATTTTATTAAATGTTCATTTCAATATTCAATACTAAAATATTTTTTCTTAGACATTGCTGTAAGCCTTTAGCAAATATTGCGCTTTAAAAATAAATGTCAAACACTTGTAGATAGATTTGACAGGAATAACAACAAAATGAGCTAATAATTCTAAATGCTTGAAGTGTATTATCAATTTGTTTATAACAGAATGTGAGTACCATTAGCATATATTATTGTAGAAATAAAAAAGAAGGCCGTTCACTTAAAGTATTAATATAATTCCACCCCAACGAGACGTTGTGTATCCCTTCGATAAGATATAATGCAACAAATTTATTACTATTCAAGAACTGTGACGCCACGACCGTACTTTTTATGTTAATGCCAACAAACCGTGCGCATGATCGTCGAGCATGAACAAAAATAACAGCCGCTATCTATCGGGCTATTAATTTGGGAGGCATAAGAACATGACATAACGAGCTTATGTCAACACGACGAATGCCGGTGTAGATATTTCTTGTATTGAAATATAACGTCGGGTGAGTGACAAACTGTGTAGGCGAACGGTCCCAGATACCATCGCTCGTCACCTGAACGGAAGCGAGGCGGCGCGAGCTAACACAAAAACCACATTAGCTCGACTATCGTTGATTATTGGGGCCGCCATTAATTGTGACAAATTTCCAAAACAAACAGGGCAACGAACAAATTGAAAAGTTCATTGTCAAGACAGTAGAATAACTAACTCTATATCCCTTCATCTACCTACCGAAGGCACAAAAATTACACGTGTGTTATACAGCACAAACAGAAAGTTCTGCGTTATGTAAAACACTGTTATTATTTAAAAGATTCGGATAACGAATCGAACGGAGCCCGACCAGATGTTTGTGCGCCAAATTATTTCTTACACAGTACCTAAATCTTATTTGAAATAAAGTATTCGTGTATTATAAACACGTGGTTCTGAATAAACATACACGCTGGTAAATCAGAATGCTAAATGACTAACTGTAATATAAATATCTGAAATAGTTAAACTGGCAACACATTCTGGAATCAAACAATCTTTCAACCGAATCCACATAGCTTAGAATTTTAAAATTAATCCGGTGAAGCTCGTAAAATATTCGATAAACAGGGCGGGTGTGTTTGCTTTCGCCAAGTTTAACATTGCTATTAAACAGTCGTGAAATGGACAGAAATAATCGGGTCGATCCGTTATATCGCGTCATTCGTATTATGGCGGCGTCTGCATACATTGCCATCGGGCCCACCGCCTATTGCCATGCTCCCCGCATCATCCCGCTGCGCCGTTCACTCGATCGTTAATTCATTTAACATTACTTCATTACATTTGGCGAAATGGTCGGGTGTTTTAAATTGATTAGCATGGCGGCGGTGGGGCCGCGCGGCGGTGTTTCGCATGCGGAGTGCGCGTGCGGGGCGGCCGGCGCGGCGGCGTGACGGAGCGGGCCGCTGAGCCGCCCGGCGCGGCGCACACGCCCGGCCACCGGGCCGCTGCGTTTTTGCGAGTCGCGACGCGCGCCGACCGGCCCTCCGCAAATTCGCCCATGGGATACCCAGAACTAGAACGTTTCGTCTGCACCGCTCCGCCGCGAAGTATTCGGGCGGCGTTCCTTCAATTTACATCTGCATTGCTCAGCGTTTCTTGCGGATGTTATAGCACGGGCGTCGGGGACAGCGAAACGGATAAGCTTGAGGCGGGTACGCGATGTTGCGTAATGAACGTTATAATTCCTGGAGTCGGTGGTGCGTCGACAGCCCGGGCGGTGGAGGAGCGCAGGCGCTAGTGGCATCCCCCGCGGCGCAGCCTCAGCCCCGCTCCTCTTAGTTTTTACCGGTGCATACCCGGCCCGTGTCTTTTTCGCTCTTCCCGATCGGAATTCGTTGGGAGATCGCCGCTGCCGGTGGCTGACGTCTTGTGACATGTCCGCGCCGATACGTGCATTGCGTACGCGACAATTAACCAGTCATCTCACTCCGATGCACAGCTCCGAAGGAATCTTTCGCCCAACACATGTTTCTGGAGACACGGTCTTTATTCAAGGAACAACCGTGAAGCAAAGTGTCCGCTCAAAATGTGAATTAAACTGTTTAATTGCGGTTTCCGAGAGGACCGTTTATTTGAGCCTCGAATAAATCCAGGTGATTTTTAGTTTTTGGGCGGCGTGCGAGAAATTCGGGATTCAAACGCATACCAATTTCATTCCAGTGTTTTGGTAGTTGTATATTATTACTTTAACAAATTATTTTTGCAATCAATGAAATCAACATTAAGACAATTAATAACACATGAAAGATTGATTTTCTGTACTCATTTCAGTAATGTGTCAATAAACATAAACGAAATGAGTACAGAAAATCATCAACGTAGAATATATTCCATGGTACCTTTCACAACTTTCGATTTCTAGCGAAGTTAATCAAGTCACCGTTAAATAACGCAACCTATAATTAGCACACCAACAATTTTAATGATGACGAGAATGCCAGTGAGCCGGGATGATTCAACATACCATATGTGAGGCTGTATGTACACGGGTTAGACAGCGACGATGCGTTATAGTGCCAGGACCGGACATTCTTTCCTCGCCTCTCGCTCCTCTTTTCCACTCACCATTGTATCCTTCTGAGGAACGTGACGACCAATTCTCCTTTATTTTTATCTCTTTGTTTCATTTGTTGAATGGAACAAGCATAGAAAGTGTTATAAATGACACAAATATTTGGTACATATGTTTCTATTACATTTTTAATGATGAAGTGGATAACTATTTTCAGCTTTTCGCTGACCTTAATGAGCCTAGAACATTATTGATGTCAAATAGAAAACGCAAAAGAGTGATAGTAGTTACTTTCGCCATCAAATGAACATGAAGAGTAATGGATAATACAAAAAAAATGGATAATAATAAAAGGAATAATGGATAATACATACTCGTATAGTTAAAATATAATTTTACAAGTATTATAAAGTAAAATTTTATTATTCTAAATACAATTCGATAGTTTTCACGTAAATTATAAAACAAATTATAATGAAATTTTAAAAATGTTATTCAATTTAGGACACAATTCTACTATACAATTGTTTAAAAGAAATCATTAAAAGGTGTGTATGTGTATAAATTGGTACACATTGGAAAGCTTTTAATCACCCACTATCTAATTCCATATAAAGAACAAGAGCATATAGACGGTACTAGAAAGAATTAAATAATCATTTTGCTACCCTTAAAATATTTAGATACAAATTATAAAAAACTTACAGATTAAAGTATTATTACAGATTGAGGTGAAACTTCACAAACTACATGCAAGTTCGCAATAAATTCTAACGAATAACCTTGCAGATTTCACCTTTAAGGTTTGAAGATTTCCCAATCTTTATTATCCACCAATATTTGCAAATTCTAATTTTATATATTTTATCTTAAAATTAAACATAATCTAAACAGAACAGCTCCTGGCAATGTTAACTGGACCTGATCCTACATGAAGGTCAGAAAATGATCGAACAATCTCTAAGTTGGCGCTCAATGAGATACCTTAGATACCATTTATTTTGGATTTTCGAAAAGGTTAAGAAATAACAACGCCTTTTAAGACCTATAAATACTAAATATAACATCGAGACAATTATGGAGAAGGCCAAGGAAGGTGTCGTGAGTAGCGCGGGAGCCGACAACACGTGTTAGCGACCACTTGCATAATGTTGTCCAGGGCTTTGCATTTGCACAGATTGAAAAAGATTATTTGATTATGAATAAAATGGGGCAGACTGTTTCTGAAAATTAAAAGCAATAAAACACAAAAAAGACCTTAAAGAACCATATCGGCGCATCAATATTGAAGCAGCTGTGAATTCGCTTACAATTCAAATTTTCATTATACATACACATATGAAGAGAAATTCTGGCGAATTTTGCATAATGCAGCCATTTGTAATATTGAAAGTAAAAAAATCATACTGAATGCCCCGGTGGCAGCCCTTTAGGACAACAGAAAGAGAAGCCGCTAGCCTTTCCATTGAATCAAATTCATATATTTTGAGATTCAGTCGCCAATTTCATTCGTACAGTTGGCAAAAAGGTGTGAAATATACCTATAAACTTAAATTTCTATCCGAATGTAGGCTTGTTGAAAGATTAAAAATGTGTGGGGGTTTATCGTGCTAATTCAGATCTCCGAAATAAAAGATCTCTTCTATGACTTTCGTACCCTTTCAAAAGACTTACCAACAAATAAATTATATATTCTACTAGCGACCTACTAGTTCCTACAGTCAAGTTCTCAAGAAGTAGTTGCTCCCTTATAATTTTTGTTCGTCAGTAATTTTTTATAACATTTTCATATTTAATTAGAAAATCATGAGTAAAAATAATTAAACAGGTATGAGTTTTTCTAACTAAAATTTCTTTCTAAATTTTTTACGATAAATACATGCACATACAAAAAGTATAGCCTATGTTGAAAAAAAATATTCAAATACGTGCAAGGGTTTTTAGGGTTCCGTACCCAAAGAGTAAAATGGGACCCTATAAGAACTATATAAGACTAAGACTCCGTTGTCTGTCTGTCTGTCCGTCTGTCACCAGGCTGTATCTGATGAACCGTGCATAGTTAGACAGTTAAAATTTTCACAGATTATGTATTTCTGTTGCAACTATAGCAACAAATACTAAAAAACCGAATAAAAAATATTAGTAATAAATACAACAGAATGATTTTGCCGTTTTATAGATAATGTAATGGAACCCTTCTTGCATGAGTCCGATTCGCACTTGGTCGGTTTTTTTTTAATTTTGTGTTTTCAAACGATTGGCATTCTTTATAATTTAATATTAATAAACTCATAAAGAATAAATACTATGTATACACTAAATAACTGGCCATCGTTTTACTGTTGGTAAAATGTGTAGGTATCTTAAAGGGTAAACTCCCTGAACGGTAATTTTTCGTCTATCTATCTATCTATCACAGCAACCACTTTAGATAGAAATAAAATGTTTAATAACGAATTTCATACTAAATACGAGGTTAATATAAATATAGGTACAATTCCATGTATTTGATTTTGTATTAGAAAGAGATGGAAGCCCATTTTTACAGGAGCATTGTAAGTTTTGATCTGCGTGAAAACTTTTGAAGAAGAAGAACGGAAAGCCCTTGAAATGAGAGGTTATACACACAAAGAAGATACGTCTCCTATTTTATTAATCCCTTATTTTAGAAATACGTAAACTCTTTCTTTAAAGGAACGTTTGACAAATAATTAAACACTGGACATAAATGAATATGTATCATATAAATTTATGGTGCATTCGTATGAGTTAAAAACCTAACGCACTCAGACATAAGCTGTGACTGTTGTTACCAATAATAGCGTTCGTTGTCAACCGTTTATTGTTAGTTTCATTAAAAAAAAACGACACACCGAAGCAGTCGAACTTGCGGAATTAGTGCAACAATGAAATAGACCCGTGTTCTTCTGGCTGTACCCACATTCCGCGGATTGTTTTATTGGATTATGCGGCGAGGCCGCGAAGCAGCTATAACTATTCAGCGTCGTCTTTTGTGTTATGGAAAAACTTGTTCTTGAGCCGTGTAGTGTGAAAGTATCGTTTATTTTTGCCGTTTAATGTTACATATGTACACATATTATCGCCTTCGCAGCTCGAATGTCATCTCGGTGCGCGCTCAGCGGCCATGCGGCACCCGCTTGTTAGAAAGGACAATGTGAAGTTCACTTCCAACGTTCTATTACGATTTGCGATACCCGTATACGCTGTGATTCCATTAAATCATTCGTAATCGCATAGTGCTGTGTAAATTCAAATGTTCTATGCCGTGTAACAGAAGTATTTCTGCTATTGTGATCAATTATTTTCCTAAGATTCACACAACAAGTTTATGAGCCGCGATAACTCAGTTTTTTAATTTATTATACGCGAGCAACCTGAGTTCAAATCTAAGTGCCAGCACTAAGGAAATTATTAATTTTAAATGCTAAATTATCACGTGCTCAGCGATGAAGGAAACATCGTGAGGAAACTTGTACGTTATTAAATAAATAAATGAAATAATAATCTGTAAGTACCTATATGTAGTTTTTTGAGATAGCGCATAACTCGAGATTGTGAAAACACAGCAAGCGGTTGGTAGTTATCGAGAAAGTGAATTCTTAAATGGACTCTTAATATGGACTGCGATGTGTTCACTGTTTTCTTTGACAGAACCCTCCTAATCCCTAAAGAGTCCCTCGGAGACTAATGTTTATTTGGACATATTTATGGCTATAGTTCCGCTTTTTGTGCGGACGGAAATATGTGTGGCGGATCGCACGTCTGCGTGAGATTTCGGACACCTCGCCGCTTACTAAATTTAATATCGCCGGCCTTAACGGCGTGGAGGGAGGCAAAAAAACTATGAAACCGCCATTGTGTCGGCGACACGAACGGCAGTTCGCGCCTGCCGCCACTCATGAAAATCATTTTGTTTTTATTTCAAAATGTATGTTTATGATAACACCTGTTTCGCCGATGCCTCCGCGATCGGTGTCAGTCGAAGCTTGTCCCGGTTTTTTGCCAATTTAAAGGCTATAAAGACGCCCGCATGGCGTGCTAATTTAACCAATGTTCACAGAATTACGCATTCGTTTACTCTCGTATACACAACAAAAGTGCCTTTTTTGTTTTGTTAGAATTTCCCATACAAAATATAAATGTTCCGTGTCCTGCGCGTTAAAACAAATGACATTTTTACAAGTTCTTACAGTCTGAAAATATCAACATTTGACGCTTAAACTTTGCTCACCGAAATATTCGAGGTAACACTGCATTTTATATTTTAAATTTTCTTTTATTGGCGTCCTGTTTTAATATGTTTTGTCATGTCCACCAATTCGCAGCGGCCCAAAGTTTTACCTTCAATATGCGATTATTAGAG